TTCCTTCCTTCCTTCCTTCCTTCCTTCCTTCCTTCCTTCCTTCCTTCCTTCCTTCCTTCCTTCCTTCCTTCCTTCCTTCCTTCCTTCCTTCTTTCCTTTAAATGACTGTAGAACATGAGTTAAAAAACTAAGGAACATTTCAGAGACAGCAGAGTGAGGAGGGAGAAGAACTCAAAGCTATGAAAAAAAGGAAGGGTAACTCTTTAAATATTTCATATAAGTCCACAACTGACTACCCTTACTTGGCCTTTCTACTCAATGAATGCTGAGGCAAAAACTGAAGGGCTTGTCTGGATGCACACTTTAGAAACATCTAAAATGTGATAGTCCTTAATCTAAAAAGTTTATGGGATAAAATGATTGCTGTGAAAAAGAAAACAAAAAACAAACAAACAAACAAACAAACAAACAAACAAAAAAAACCAAAAGAAAAACACCAAAAAAAACCACAAAAAAACAAACAAACAAACCAACAAAATCATAATAATCTGCTACATTGTACAGGAAAATATAATGAGTATGACCAAATCTCACTGAGACTGTATTTAAATGGGAAGTTTTTGTGCATGCTAGGCAAAATTATTCAGAGCAGGAATTTGACTGGAAGACAGCAGATTTGAAGTAGTGTCAACATTTATGCTGTAAATATGAATTCATTAAGATAGTAATGACTTTTTAGAATATAGAAACATACATTTTTCACATCACTTTATGGAGTAGAGAAGTCTACATCCTATATTCTTGCAAGTTTAGTTTTAGTTGTGTAATTTCAGGTAAAACTGAAGAATTAAATTAGTGCATTTGCACTTGAATACAGAACACAGTTCACATACTTGATAATAAATGAAAAGAGAGTTGTTTATTTCTCAAATCTAATGCCCAGTGAGAGCTCCCCGAAGTAAAGGATGGGAAAATGGGACATGTAAAACACTTGAATCAAAGCTAAAGTAGATATTATTGGCATGTCTGCTTTTCTTTTTTTTCTGGTCCCACTTTGAAAAGTACAGTTATTCAAAGAGAGCCAGACACAATTACTGTAACAATAACTGCATGTCCTCATTGTGCCTGATAAATGGAGAAAAAGACTGGAGAGAAAGAATTAAGCTTTTACATTTTAAAGGAATTTTAAAAACTGTAAATCGATAATCACCTGGTTTGTCTTCAATGGCAACCACTGAATTTACCCTGTAAAGGCACTTGGTAATCAGTAGATATTCCAAATAAATACATAGATGATAAGAAGCCTGCAATTCATTTGGAATGATAGCATTTATAGATGGGTAAAAAAGCATTTCTAGAACACCCAATATCATTAATTTAGAGAAAATCTTAACCAGCTTAAAAGAATTTACATATTTTTGGTGCCATAATGTTCTTCACATACTGCATCATAGTGAATAATGGATGAAGTAAATATTAATTTTAAATTTATACTAATCTTAGAATATAACTGATTTATATATTTATATATTTAGAATATAGCTGATTTACTTCTATAAGTTATCTATATGATACACTCTGTGCCATGTATGTAACATGCAAAAAAAATATAATCTTCCACAAACTAATTAATGGCTACATAAAAGAATTTTAATTTCATAACTGCTTATTCTAAATGTTTTATTTTTTCAGTTGCATGGATAATTTTCTTTATTTATCCTTTAGACTCATAGAGTTTTCCACTGGTGGGCAACAAGAGGCATGACACAGAAGAGAGCCATAATATGGATCTTGCAAGAGAAAATTATGATAGTGAATATAAATAATTAAAATCTGTCTTTTAGGCATGGTCAAAAGAGAGCTCTTCAGTTTGAAAACGTTTGAGAGGGTTTAAATGTTATCACATCCACAAGGTGAAGGAGTGTGAAGAAGCAAAGCTAATGACTATCAATGAATTTTAAAGTGAAGCTTAAAGAGAAGAAAGTCTATTCTGCCATCATGCACCACAAAAATCAGGTCTCAAATGGGAAACTCAGATGAGATTTTAGCTTTGAATGATAAATTCATCTGTTCAGCCTCCATTTTTAAAATTTAGTTGTTCTTATCTTAAAAAAAACTTAAAAGAGTTGAGGGCAAGTTGAATCATGGTCATATTTCCCAGTGACTCAGTTTTCAAAGCCATTCTCTCAGATTGTTCTAGGAATCATAAGTCATGTTCCCTGTTCTCAAGGCAGCTGTCACTGAGGAATTTTGTGTGAGACTTTCAGATTCTTCTTCTGGTATGAGATGTCTGTTTTCTGGGATGAGGAAGTTTACCTGATTTCTGAGGTGACCTAATCTCCTGCATCCAGCTTTAAATTTTCCATACCCTTAATTCACTGCCTTTTACCAATTTTTAAAATTTAAGGCAGAAAGCTCAGAGACATGTTTTTCTGATATATGCTTCAAGTCGGATCAAAATGCATGGCAATATAAAACAGGTACATAGAGACCATCCAAAAGAGATCAACCATACAAAATATAATTTGAATAAAGTTGAAAAAAAAAAAAAACAAAACAAAACAACAAAGAACAGATAAAAGTATGTGCAAAAAGCAGTTAAAGAAGCTGCTCAAAATAAATTCTGTTTCCATCATGGAGAAGAGATATGAAGAATAAAAAGCAGTAAAAAACTTACATAGAGGAATTTTTTAAAAAAATCCATGGATGAAAAACTGTAACAGGAAGATGACAGGAATATTTACACTGTTCAGCAGATCAATAAACCATGCAATATACTTGAAAAGGCTTATGTCAGTTATTAAGGGCACAAAAGTTATTCTAAAAATACCACTTAAATATGCAGAAACTGTGTCCTTCAATTTTGAAAGTATCCTTCAATTTTTTATTTGTGGATCTATCTATTTGTACCCTTACTGGCTCAGGATCAAGACCATATAGATTTAAAACTGTAAATATTTATCATATTTTGGTCTTCAGATAAATAGCAAGTATATCATGTTCAGATGTAATTTTTAGGACTATGACAAAAAAAAAAGAATGAGTTTGCATAAAATCAGTTATTGGATTTTGTTCACACCATTCATTCCAATACAGAAAAGACTGGAAAATAAGCATCGCATATTGATAGTTGATGTAGAAATCATGTAGTATGTGCATAAATTTATTAAATCAGTTTTATTTGAGATTAAATTTAGTCTTAGAAATCTACTTTCACATTCTGGTTAGGCAGCAAAATACATTGATGAAGATTAATTTCATTTAGGTGACTCAGAAATAAACTTACTATATGTGCATCCATACACTTCAATGCGCATGCCAATCCTGCCATTTGGATTCCAGTCCAAAGGCACAAAACGGAGAAATCTTGCTTTAATCGAATGCTGAAGCTTATAGTACACGACACTGTCTGCATTTGTGTTTCCAGAAAAGGCCTAGAAGAAAATGAAAAAAAAAGTCAGCCACATCCACATTGAATACAGAAATATATGGAAATTTCACTGATCTTTTAATTTTATGTATTTTACTTCCATTTCATCTGGCAACCAGTCAAGCACAGGAATAAAATGAAATTGTCAGTGAATTCCATAGGAACATTTGATGATTCAATATTTAATATTCTTTTAGATAAGGTGTTAACTCATCTGTGTATTTAGCATTGATGCCCCATGCAGGGAAGTATTTAACAGCTTCTAAAATTTCAGTGAACAAACCCTGCAAACCCAAATATTCTTTTCAAAAACATGTGGAATATCCTCACATTTCAGTGCATGGCTCTATGTAACACTTTAGCATAAGAAAACAGAGTGATATCTATAAATTCCTTCTACTGAAAGACTAAATGGATTTCATTTCAAGCCTGCATTTCAAATGTATAGCATGCTGCATTTAAAATGGTCTTATACTGACAGATCATGGTAATAAAAGACTTGTTTCCAACTATAGAATCCAAATTATTGCCAAAGAGATGCATTTCAGTTAAAAGAATCCTTATTTAAAAAATAATCCTTATTTCAGATTTTTATCTGAATCCTTATTTCAGATTTTTAACAAGGTGAAAGAAAAAAAGCAAACATTTTTGCAGTATTTAACTGATAAAACTACTTTCTGTTTTTCTTACATAAAGAAAACAAAATACATAAAAATGTAAAGAAGAAAATTTTAAAATGCTGTAATAATAAATTGTACCATTCTAAAAACCAGAGAATATTTTCTGATTTCTCTGGGCTGTGCGGTGTTCCTTTGTAATGACCTGTTTATGGTGAAGCATAAAGAATTTGTTCAGACATTTTGAATCCAAATATCTGATGGTTCTCTGAAATATTTAGATGAGCAGTATTTAAAAGATTACACCTGTCTGGCTGTATGAACAGTGCTGTTGCTATAGCTATAAGCCACAGATGTTGCAGCTGGAGAAGTACATAGCAACTAACATCTTTAGGTATGCAGCTTCTCTTCCCATAAGTTTTAGAAGCTGAGATGAGCTTCACTGCATTCATTATTTATCTTTCTATACACAGATTTTTGCACCTTCTCTCTCCTGTACTAGTAAAATTTCAATAAATTCTAATCACTGAACAGTCAATGGGGAAAAGAAAAGAAATTAGATTAAAAGACCCCAAACCAACGCAACTACCCAATCAAAATGAAAACCAGAACAGTTAATGAATTAGCTTATTTAAGCTAACCTATTAGGCTAGCAATAAGCAATGAGAGTTAGTGACTTTGAATGTCCACTTTCAGCTTCATGCTTTGTAATTCCACTAACACAGCATTTAAAGGAGGAAATCTAACAAAAATCAGATAAAACCAAGTATTGGAGGGTGAGACCCTTCCAGACCTCTTGTCCCTTCAAATCCTATTTGTAGTATGTAACTGCCCATGAAACTGCCAATTAGTTTGTTGACTGAACCAGAACCAGGCTCCAGTAATTTAAGTACTATGACCAAATGAAGTGTTCAGTTAAGATTTAAATTTTTGCAAAATTGCTTTGGGGAGCAGCCTCCTCATAAAAGTCAATTTAAGTTTTGAAAACAGATTGCATATGGCCTGTTTTTTTTTACTGTAGACCATATTTAGACTGTGTTTTTTTAATTTAAAAATTGGGGTTTGGATTCAACAATAACCTAAAAATAATTCAAACTACTCCTTTCACACCATTCACAATGCTTAGTTTAGAAACCAGTATATTTTCTGTAGTTTTACAAGGCTTTTATCTGGGAAAATCACATTTTACAGTGTATCAATTGCGTTGAGTATTAAATGGTCTTTATTGCTTGTTTTAAACAGTCTAAAGGCTAAAATAAATATTTTGATTTTTTTTCAGTCTAAGTCCACTTTTAAAAACGAGAGGACAAAATCAGACTGCTTTTTCTCCAGGTCACAGAACTAAAAGTGCACCTGAAACCTATGAAAGTAGCCTGTAAGCTTTTTTGAGGAGAATTATATTTGACATCTCAGACAGACCTGTCTTTACAGTAGAATACCATTACTGTTTCATGGTCCAATCCAGCAATCTTTAAAACATAGAATTTATAACCATATAATGAGCTTCTTTCATCCTACCCCTCTTCTTTGTTCACACCACTTCATTCTTATGCCAAATTACATATAGGGAACATGCAATTACTTTAGATTATGCAGAGTTGTCACAACCTACACAGATATCTCATATTAAAATATAAGGTTAAAAAGATGTCATGTGGACCTCAGTTAATAGGAATAACACACCTAATAATTGCACATAATAAACATTGTTTGCATAAATATTAATAGCGTTATACACTTAATCCAATATAATTGTTGACTCTTAGTTGGTGTATTTACAGGTACTTTATTATACTGCCTCCTAATAGATTGAAAACATACCATCTTCCTCAAAGAATGCAGTTTTTGAAACACTGAAATACTATATTACAGTTTAACTATAAACAGTACCAGGGCCACTTAGAGCAGAGATAGCTAAGCAGATAACTGTCCACAACATAATTTAGTCCATGAAGTAGAAGTATTCTGGGCTGTACTGAAGCATGAACTGAGAGCCTGAACTGCTCTCAAACTTGGCTGAACTGTCCTACTCAGTTCCTAACCCAGTAATTTCTTTATCTCAAGCTACTTTAACCCTGCTTTGAAGACAGAATTACTCAGTTCATTACGGTGTCAGAAATCACAGATGCACTCTGGATTGGCAAAGTGAAGTCCTGTCCATAGAAGGGCATTGGCAAGCTCAGAATGATGATGTGAAGGTAAACTGGCATCAAGACAAAGTAAAAAAACTCCTTGGTTTCTCTGTCCATCCTCTATGTAGAAAGCCATGTGGGTGTTGACCAGAGATAATACAGGCATCCAGTCCAAAACTTTCTCGCCAATCAAAAATTCCCCCAAAAATGAAACTGTATAGGACCCATAATTCAGATAATCTAGAGGACATGACCCCTATTTACAAATATAACTTTTACTATATAATATACTATATATACACTGTAAATAAAATTACTAAATAATATGCACAAAGATTTTACATACATTGTGTACCCATTGCAGTAAATATATTTATTACAAATATTAGTTTAAAAAATATACATATATAAATAAATATAAGTATACTTAGCTGCAAACCTCCATCCAGTGTTAAAAAACAAGTCCTGGAATGGGACCAAACCTGAATAACTTTGTTGGGAGAGAAGTTGTGGTACTATTGTACCTCAGGATGGTCCTAACTTCATCATGTGGTTTATAGGTTCTAGTACCAACACCAGAAAAAACAGCTGAAAAAATCAGCATGAAGTAACTTGGAAATGTTTGTATAAAATACCGCGTAAAAAAAGAATGCTGCAGGATTAACTCATCTCTCCCCTTTTCTCCCAATACTTCTAAATTACATCCAAGTTGATATTACAGTTTAAATTATTTACATCTCAGTAAAAAAAAGGAGTACGTATTCCAGATAACTTAGTACACAGTACAAGTACACTTCAATTGACAAGTTTTCTAAACAAGAATCCAAACACTCAGACTCATTTTTCTCAAGGAATTACCATTGTGGTGAGTTTTTGTTAGTCTTTTGAGGTTGCTCCGCAAAGTCAAGAAGTATGAACTTTTCAGTTAAAGTGCAAAAATGTGAAAGTCCTTCACTCTGACCAGAGAACACTGTACCAGACAATTCTCTCCTTTCCTATATGTCCATATTGCAATTATGCTTAGGACAAAATGATCAAAGAGGTTAAATTAACAGATTTTTAAGACTTAATTGGTTAAAAATGATATATGCAAAAGCTGGCTGATATGTTTCATACAAAAAACTAACAGTGGTATTAGAGTGAGAAGACCTGTGCCATGGGTTATTCACTGTACATTTCACTAGATCTCGAATTGTTTGAAGATACAGTTGAAATATAGTAGTGTTACCTTAAATTGATTAAAACACACAGCAGTTACACATACTCATAAATCTGAGTGTTCATAATGTCTTTTTTTTAAAAAGAGCAGCATATATTAATGACAACCTGCTTAATATAGACCAGACAGAAAAAAACTTGGCAGAAAATTATCATAAATTGTTGTTCCAGTAAATGCTCACCGCTTGTACCACCTAAATCCCCACTCCTGTACTTACAGCTTTCCATCACTGTTGCTCAGAGAAAGGATAGTGGAGTAAATTGTATCAATTCTCTTTCAGTCTATCTCTTTCTCTTATTTCTTTACATTTGGTGAGTGTTTTATTCACTGTCATGGTTCTTCCTCTTTATTTTTTGGTCCTTCACTATGTGAGTGGAATATTAGCATAAGTTTACATAAGTTCCAGAACAGCTCCAGAATTAAGAGATGAAGAGAGGATGAGACCACACTTGCCAGTTAATTTATCAAAGGTAACATCTGATATTTCTAAATGGACTCTAGATATTCAGCCCTTCTGTTTTGTTTGGGGTTTATTTTTGTGGGGGGGTTCCTTTTTTTGTTGTGGATTTTGTTATTTTTGAGAAAAAAAAATTGAAACAATTTGCTTTCATATTAATATAGAAGAGGGAGATTTCAATATCTAAAATTAAGGTAATGTAAAAATGTGGGTTTTTTTTCTTGTTACAGTAGTAGCAGTTGGATATAACAGTGCAGGTGTGCATGAAAGGGCCCTTGAACAACCACTGTTAGTCAGAAGAGGTCTGTCAACAACTAGCTATGCTCATTTGGAAATGAGCTTAATAAAAAGTGTTTTCTGTCTCTTTCTTTATTCCTTTCATGTTCAATATAGCTGAAATGAAAAGGTACTTAATTTTCCAGATGACATGGTATGGGGACTAGTAAGTAAAATAAAATAAAAATAAAAATATCTTTTTGTAAGCCACCAGCTACAACAGGTGCTTTGAATTCTTCCATCTACCTTATTTCCTTTCATCATTCAGATGTAGTAAAAAATTTTATGTGAAGTAACTTGCCA